TTTTTTTTTTTTTTTTTTTAAAAAAAAGGCAAAACAAAAACCCGGAGACACCAGCGGTGGGGAAGGTGGAGGAGGAGGCTGCGAGGGGGCTGGAGGAGAGCGGGGGAGGGGAGGGGAAGCTTCGGTCCTCCCCTTGCACACTGATTTGCAACCCCCTTCCTGTTTTGGCTCTTCTGAGTAGCTCCGCTCCGAGACTGAAGACGTGGTTGAAGCCCAAATTGACGCAATCCTGACGCTACAGGGCTGAAATCAGCACCTTTCCCACCTCCCATCCCCCTCCCCTCCAACCACCACACCCTCCCTGTTCCCTCACATACCCCTCCCTCCCTCCCTCTTCCTGGGGACTGAACACACGCTCATCGATTATTTTAACTGCCCTGCTGCAGGATATGAGCTCCCACCCCTCCATCGGACACAGACAGGGGAATGCTAATGTCTCTGATTCAATGCTCAGTGTGTAATACAAGGGTGTGTCTGTAGGACTTATTTATTTGTTTATTTATTTATCAGCTGTCCAGGCTACAATTATGTGAAGGAGATGCCAACTCAGACAGTCCAGACACCTTGGCTCCAACTGAACACGTTGCTCCTGTGCCTTACTGACGTGATTCACTTATTGGATTTGACTCATGAAAACTCCTGACGTGTCTTCTCCCTGTCCCTCATCCCTGCCCATCCCTTTCTGCCCCCTTCCCACCCCCAAGAAAAAAACAGTCTCTCAGTCCTCACTTTGTATCTTTTTTTTTTTTTTCTCTCTCTCTCCTCTTGTCCTTCCTACTGGACTGGGAAAAAAGCTGAATTTTCATGGATCCTTCTGGATCCTAACAGGTTGGCATGTCTCCCTCCTAGTCTGAACTAAAAACACTGGTAGGGAGGGAGGGGAAGGAAAGGCAGGAAGATGGGGAAAAAGCAAAAAATAGAAAACAAGGCAGTGCTGCCTTCTCCTACAATTGCTAAAATATATAAAACCTGAAGCTAAATCCTAGAGCAACAGAGCTGCAAAAGCCAGCACCTGGCATCTGACTCCTGGAGTCAGATGGAATCTTAGCAGCCAACTTTGGAGCCCAATTGCTACTTCTTCAATGTAAATGGGAACAAGTGCTTTTTCTCTCCTACATAACAAAACCCAGATGCACACGTAGCCTGGCCTGACCTTGCTCCATGCATAGGCCGCTTGGAAATTAATGTGGCTGGGTCACCTTTAAAACACAGTCTTGCTTCACTGTGAGGCCACCAAAGACTCTTATACTTTAGCAAAAATAAAAAAAGGAAAGGGCAAGGAATCATGGTGATTTAGTGTCTAAACACAACTGAATAAAATGCCCAGTGAATTTGTAAGGTTGAAAACCTATTGGCTAAACCCGGTTGTGTTTCTCTGTTTCTGCTGCACCTTCAGCAGCTTGACTTTTGCATGCAAATGCACCAGTTTTCCATCAACAGCCGTATCCTTTATCCTGCTAATACAAAAACAGAATAGCTTACCACCATTTTTATTCATACAAACACCTGGATTCTAACAAACTCAGGTATTAGAAGCCTGTGAAAAATATTTTTTGGCTCTTGTATGTGTTTTGGCAGCACAATTTGGGTTGGGTTGCTTGAGTTTACATACTGGCACCAGTCCAGACAAACCTGGCTCAACTTCTCTATCTTTCCTTCTGCCAGTCCTCTCTTCCCCAACTCTGCAATGCATTTCCCTTTCTCTGTCCAAAATCCAGCCTTGGTCAGAATGTGCATGAATGGAAAGTAATTACATTTGATTTTAGACAAACTTCAAGGTATCAAGGCTCCAGACATGATTGAAACATATAAGATCCTTAAACAAGTTTAAAGCTAAATATGTATAACTGGGATACCTAAGATATTGTAAGCTGTTGCTGTATCTGAACTTCAAATAAAATGTACCAGAATTAGTGTTTGCGGTATCTTGGTAGTGGCTTTTGCTTTTTTTTTTTTTTTTTTTTTTTTTTTAAGGAATTTTTACTGGAGTGTTGTGGTGAGCCTACCTGTGTGGAAATTGGAACCATTGTCAGTAGGCTGTGGAACTCCTTATTTTGATTTGTTTTGAATAAAATCTTGAAGATTCTTTGTTGATGTATATAAAATTTAGGGAGCACATGAAAATATGACAATGAATGCCTTAGGTTTTACTTTATCAGAAGACCCAAGAATGCATAACACAAAAAGCTCTTGCACAATTTGCCTGTCTTTGTATATCAATTTCCTTCAGTGACTTTTAACTATGCTGGTGAAAATGGAAAATTGCAAAATTGCTACTTTAAAAAAAAAAATCAAATAATTTGATCTAGAAACCCTTTGCACTGTGTGCTGTACAAACATATAGTAGAGTCATTCCTTTCCTGCCTGTTCTGCATGTATATAGCTCTTTAAAGTACTGCAAAGAGGTTTCCTTATATTAGCTCCCTACATTTAGAAACTTGGAGCTGCCAGATTGTGTATATACACAAGCCTATGAAACCAGCTGTGCAAATGAATGATTTTATCTCTTTGTTGGACTCATCAGCAAAACAGCAAATAACTTTTTTTGCGTCATTCGTGAACTTCCTAAAATAATTACATGACTCCACTTACTGAAACAGAGCGCACATCACAGAAAATACTCAAGGAGAGGAGGAGCGTTGACATGCTTACACGTCTTGAGACAGATGCACTGTTTGCTCCCTGTGTTGTGCAAGCACCATCTAGTGTACAGCTTAGACCCATCAGCCTCAAAGGACTACTCATATAACAAGTAGAAACACAAATGTGGGAAAAAAAAATGAGGGAAAATCATCAGGTGGACCCTGTGCATTTCTGAACTAATTAAATAACTATATTTTAGGTCTGTCTCACCCAATAAAATGACTCTTCCTCGTAGTGGTTACACATTCTTAGCAATTCCCTCTGTCCTAAGAAAGCATACTGAATATTTCAGCAAAACTTCACACAATTTGCACAAGGCTCTCTGTGCAAAAACTTGCACTAAGAATGCACTGTTCAAGGAATTTTCCTTATTTGTACCTAGCAAACAAACTAAAATCATCGCAAAATACTTTCACCTCAGGGGCAGAGCATCAAAAGGAGCTGACTGACATCTTGCCTACCCTGAGCTGAAATGGATTGACTGTCCACGAAATATACGTATATTATAGCTACCAGTGTCATAAGGCTTTCTGTGGTCTAAAATCCCAGTTAGTGATGTGCTTGCATGTGCAGAGCACCCCCCGCTACCCGCAGAAGAGGGAGGGTGGTTGCTAAGCAACACAGTCCATACACTTCCCAAAGCAGATAGGCCTCAAATAAACCTATAGGGCTGGAAAAAATGATCCCCCCCTGCAGGTGAACTGTCATTATTTGAGGGATTCAAAAGCCTATCTGTGAAAAAAACCTAATACCACCCCCCTCCACTAAAGGAGGAAAAAAAACTTACTTTAAGCAAAAATTAAAAAAAAAAAAAAAAAAAAAGTCAATCAACATTTAAAAATATAACTTGGTGATTTATATGTATGAGGTGAAACTGGTAAAAGAGCCCTTTTCGATCCCTGTGAAATGTTTCCCTGGAGCTTAAAGATGGAGTTTCATGTTTTCAAAAAACAGTGTCTAATTTTGGGTTCAATAGTTGCCAGGTGCCATCCACTAACACTAATTAATACTGTTCAGCGCCTCTGAAAATCAAACCCTCCAGCCATGCTTGCAAAATAAAACCTTAGAAAGAACATGAGTTAAATGCCCTAGATTTGGGGAAGTTTAGAGAATCCACCACTTGAAAATCAAACAACAATACAAGTTATAAGTATGAAGAGATCTAGGTAGTTATGCCTTGCTGAGCATCTGCTTCAGGGAACTCTCCCTCAGTTTGCAATTACTCAAAACAAAAGGACTAACAGCCCTATGTGTGTCTCAGGTTTTGGCATACACCACATCACATGTAAATGCTTGATTTCATGGATATGGACAGAGGAATAAATTCCTTTCACCCTGGTGTTTCTGTCGATTGGCCCTGAACATGCATCTAGCGCAACTGAAAAACTCTTAGCTTCCATACAGGACTAGGGCGTAGAATGGAGGCCAGTACACAACTGGAGCAGCATCTGAAGGTGAGGTTGAGGTGCCTGATTTGACTAGATAATCTGCTTTAAACAGCAGTATATGACTTTAATTAAGCAACTGAATGTATGCCTGAATTCACAGACTGATGTGTAGAGGTTGAAATCCCTATTTTTAAAACATGGGAGTGTTTTATGCCAAGGATATCATTTAGAGTGAGCTGAATCTCTCCCTTGACTCCACCGGATATATTGAACAGGTATTCATTTTCTATAATGAGAATTTAGATACTGCATATATAGGTGTCTGAAGTTTGTCATGTTAGCTTGAAGGCTGAACTCCATTCCTAAGGCTAGGTGAGGTGTCTAAAATTAATGCTGCAATTTCTGTAAAACAGAAAGTAAATATTTTTCTTCTCAATAATGACATGGTGAAATCAGTGTCTTGGTGAGATTGCAAGTCAGGACTTCTTCCCTTTCTTCATCTATAGTGTGAAATTGCAGGGTCATCTTACAGTAAAATGAGAAAATGAGATACACATATTTGTGTCCTTAGTAAAATATTATGCAAGCAGCCGACTACTCATAAGGGTCAGAGATATTTTTCATTTTTTGAAGAGTATTGTTATCAGTCAAACATCTGATGACTGCTTCCTCAACAGAAACATCGAAGTTAAACTACTGAAATGACTTGCTTCATCCTAGTTTCTAGACAATTAGCAATTTGATTTTGCAACAAAGCCTCCAGAGTCATGTCAATCCATGTGAGTCTCAATCCATGCACGGTCTTTCCGAAATGTCTGATGATCATCTAGCCAGGGATTACAGGTACATTTAAGTATTAAAGAGCAG